TTGAGATATCAAAAAAGTACTCCAGAGTGTTGTTCAGCATGGGGGTGAGTAGAAAATGAAGGCTAATCATGTTTTGGGTGTACTATTCCTTTAATCAAGACAATATTTAATGAATAATAGAATGCGATATGTGCAAAAAAAAAACTAAAACAAAAGGTAGTAAAGCCTGAAACGGTTAATTGAAAACCAAACAGATGCACAGAACTGCAGGCCTTACTGTTTAGACTGTTTGTAAAGATGATCTAGATCAGTGCTGTGATGCTTTAAGTCAAAATCAAGACATCGGTTGAAGGGCCGCTGTGAACTCTGCTCCTCATAAACATTCACACACATGTGGTGCAAAAGCTGCAGCCTCAGGTGTATTTAAAACTGCAAGGAGTTCCCCCCCACCCCCCAACACTTTATTTCTTCAAGGGCCAAAAAAAGGGGTCCGAGGTTTAGTCTGAGAAAATAACTTTATGGCTTCACTCAGTGCAGAGGGCCTAATTTAACCCCGAGCGTGCACGATCCGCTGCATAAAAAAAAAAGAAAGTCATAGCAGCACTGCGATCACTGGGCCTCTGCTTCAATCACTTACTCACTTTAATAGTCAAAAGAGAAAGAATCAGGCCTGTGGTGGGGTGGGGGGGGGATAGTGAGAAGGCTGTGGCAGCACTGATAGCGTCCTATCGTCTCTGCCTCTGGTTTCCTGTTCTGAGTCAGTTTTTTTCTAACCCTGATTCTAACATTTTACTGCCCCTTTATAACCAAAGCCTTAAAGGCCAAAATATTCACTTTAATTCATCATTATTAGTGCTGGGGGGGGAGAAATGCTGATTTTAGGCAGCATTTTTAGCTGTTAGACCTCTGATTGGTAAATAAACAAGTTTGTGATCAGACTGTGTGACACGTCCTCTCATTATAGAGGAAGAGGAGGTGAGACTTTGGCCGTAAAACTCTTTAAACTAAATACTTTGAACCTTTTTTTTCGACGTGAAAAACTATTTTAAGTTACTTTTTCTTCAGGGAAAATGGAGATGAAGAAGAATAATGGCTTCAATAAAAGTTAATGAAGTTCTTTTGTAAAAGTTTCTCTCTTTTTTTAAGCTTTGGTGGAGAAGGAAGTCCAGTTTGAAAAAGAAACAGGATTTATTGAAGCTCAGTGGCTCCGCTACAGTTTTATCAAACCATGAATCAGTGTTTTTGTGTTTCTGTCATGGCCGACCGACAAGAAAATTCATTTCTGAGGGGGAAGGAGGGAGGGGGGTCGGGGGTAAGAAATTGTGTGGGTGTGAGAGAGAGAGAGTAATAAAGTGTCAGAAGCAGAGAAGTGAAGCAGCTTGTTGTGACTTTCTGCAGTTTTTTGGGCAGCTCTCACACACACACACCCCCCCACTCACAGGGACAGAGTGTGTCCTCTGAGGTGGGACATGGTGCCATCAGTGCCACTGCTCTGTGAGTATCACACATGTTTCAGCTTCTGATTGCATTTCTCTACCTTTCTGCAGCTGCTGCAAACAAACTCTGCTCCCAGACAGAACTAAAAAAAAAGCTCCAATGCTGCTTTGCTTCTTTTCGCCGACCTTAAACCGGATCCAGAAGCTCTGCAATGATTTACGCACAAGTGTGTCGCCTTTATGTGATTTATTTTTTCTCTTTTTTTTAAACCATCCAGTTTTTTTTGCTTCCCCTCTTGAGCAGCAGGTATAAGCTTAAAGCGGGCCTCCATGTGGTGCCGCAGAGGCTTTAATGATGTAAAACAATAAGGCTGAAGTCAGTGCAGGTAAGCTGAAGCAGTGTAACCGTAAGGTGATACCTGCGCTCCCCCACCACCAGGCTGTCGTGCGTCTCATTAACAGGATCACTTTTCAGCCGGGGCAAACAATCGGGTCATTATCCGTCCGAACCGAACCCAACTGCACAACAAAAACACATATAATGCTTTTACGCACTGGAAAAACTATCTAGAAATAAGTAAACATTTCTTAAATTAAGTTGATTTGAATAGATATGAAATGAGATAGTTTGCCAATGGGATGAGTATTTCTACTCTTAGAATAAGATAATTAGATAATATGCACTTGAAATAAAACAAGGCAGTTGTGTTTTCTTATTTTATATCTAAAATGTCTCTTTTATCTCCTTAATTCAAGAACAAATGCACTTATTTTTGGAAAATCTAGATTTAGATTTTTTCCAGTGCATCTTTACTGGTCAGTACGTTTCATGGCTTTAATGGAGGACCACTAACAGAGGAGGGCAGATTACCCAAAGGTTTGTTCTTAGGTAAAAGTAGCACTACTTCATTTAAGGTAAAAAATAGTCGTCTAAGAAATGACTAAAGAGCTAAAAGGTACTTACTGCTTCTAAGCGTAACGAGTTCATATTTAAAAAAAGGGATGTAACGTTACACAATATAGAGAGTTTTATGCAAATTCTGGTGTTTAAGAGAATGAGATGAAAAACGATCAATATATAAAACAGAGTAATTACACAATTTTATGTGGGATTAAGATGCAGTTAAATTACTGTAAACTTTAATGTATTTTCACTCCACCTCCAAACGACACCACAGACTGGAAAATGACATTAAACCAAAGGGCCTGGAGAATAAGATGTTTGTCTCTCTGCTGCATTTTTCTTTAGAATAAACTTTTTTTTTCATCAAGCAAAAGCAGAAATGTTTTTTTATATATTTCCTTAAGTAAAAGTTGCAGGAAAACATTTCTGCCAAAAAGGTACTGAAGTAAATGCAGCTACACTGGAAAAGGTCATTATTTCTTAAAATAAGTGCATTTTTTCTTGAATTGAGGAGGAAAAAGAGACATTTTGCCAAAAGGAACAAGACAAATCTAAAATTAAAATAAGAAAACACAATCGCATTGTCTTATCTCAAGCGCATTTTATCTAAATATCTTATTTTAAGAGTAAAATCATTCATTCCGTTGGCAAACTATCTCGTTTACCTACTCAAATTAAGGGTAAATGCATGTAATTTGAGATATTTTGACTTATTTCTAGATCGTTTTTCCAGTGTATGGTTACAAACCACATCGACTTATTAATAATCTTGGGCTGGTAACGATAGAATATGAAGTTATTAGAGCTTTATTTTGGTAAGGAACAACTTTTAAATTCAGATCTGATTTTAAAACATCTTAAATCTTGGCAGATTAATGCAGATAATCTGACGGAATCTGCTCTTGCTTAGTAAATCCATTTGGAAACAGATCAGAAAGACTTTTTTCTTGGTTAGATTAAAGGTTTTGGTTAAATGGACACTTTTAGCTTGAGATAAATTGACCCAAACCATCAGTTTATTACTATAGATTAATACAAAGACTAAACGAGGATATAAATGGCAGCATAAATCCCATCAGCAGCAGTTATTCTGCCCCTCACAACCAAAACTGATCTAAAACCAAGTAAAACATTTGAGCAGGTAAATAAACTGCAAAAACAATCTAAAAATAAGTAACAATTTCTTACGTTTAACCTTAATTTGAGTAGGTAAATAAAATTATTTGCCAATAAAAAGATTCTTTATTCTTAAAATAAGACAATTGGATAAAAATGCACTTGAAATAAGACAATGCAGTTATTTTTTTCTCATTTTAAATATAAATGATCTTGTTCCATTGGCAAAGTGTTTCCCTTACCTCCTCAATTCAAGAAAAAATTACTTATTTAGAATTAAATTTTTTGGAAAGGAGTATTTTGGCCTTAAAATAGGACAATTTTATATATGTTCCTTATTCTATACGTAAATAATATTAAGCTATTGGCTAATTGTCTGTTTTAACTTCTGAATTCAAGGGGAAATAAACTAATTTAAAGAAAAACGGACTTCCAGAGCTGTTTAAAGAACATGTTTGTTTGCTATATTTTTATGGATCATTATAAACATTCATTATGATTGAACCTCAATATTTTGGTATATTTTATGGCTTTAAAGACCTGCAGAAAGAGGCTGTGACATAAAGTACTTCATCCAAGCATGTAACCTTTGCCTGCATATGAAACTTTGCACCCCCAATCTCAGCGTTTACTCATTTTAAAAGTCTATAATTAGGAATCATTCTAAACATCTTAACTTCTATGTTTAGAAAGTCAAATATTCATTTCTAATGAATGGAAAACATTGCAAGATTCTTTTCTAATTTAATCTAATCTAATCCTCCGGAGTACCTGAGGGTGATAGGATGGTGAGGGAGGGGGGCGGGGGGGGTCTACGCTTTTGGCAACCTGCCCCCGGCGACACCTGCTGAACGGGACGGCCTTTTACGCGCATGCGTAATGATCAGCCAAAAATCCCAAACACCGTCTCGCCTGACATGCAGCGGTGTTCCAATCTGTCCAGAGATCCGGTCGGAGCAGGTCGGAGAGGGAAGGGATTAGGATTTATAGACTTTCTGAGTCCAGCAACATGCCGAGGTCCTTCCTGGTGAAGAGCAAAAGGGCCCACAGTTACCACCAGCCCCGCTGGCCGGACGATGACTGCGCCACGCTGGACACTATTCTGGCACAAGTGTGCGCAGGTGGGTCCAAATGTGCGCAACTCAGGGAACTTTTAAAACAAATTCTCAGTGAAAAAATGATTTTATAAAATATAAAAGATGCTTTTGTGGTGTCAGCAGGGAGCAGAAGTCAGGGGGAGTTTGAATCCAAGCTGGAGGCTGAGGAGAACATGAGCTCCGGCGCTGACAGAGACTCCCCCGGATCCAGCCGGAGGTCCCGGGGGTCGCTGTCCTCCAGCTCCCCGCTGAGCTCCGACTGTGATTTCTGGCGTCCGCCGTCTCCGTCCTCCTCACCAGGTTTGGCACCAATCTGCTTTCATTTAGGGGAAACTTTGTTTAAGCTGTTTAATTCCTTCAGATAAAAGATTTATTATATAATAAGTTAAAGGCATCATTTAATTTCCTTATCTGTAAAAAAAAAAAAGATTGTTTTTATTGGCTAATATATTTTAATCGATGTCAAAATCGAAAAGAAATTCTCCTTAAGGTGATCAAATCAGAATAAACTATTTAAGATCTGATATTATTCCGTGTTTTTATTAAAGTTTAAATGTTAAATTCATCTAGACTCTGAGAAATGTCCCACACCCGCAGCGGAGGAGGCCCCCTTCCACATCCCGCTCCTTCCTTACACCTGGTCGGCTTACAGCGGCTCAGATCTGCGGCATCTTGTCCAGGGGCCTCACCAGAGACAGCGGCACCTCAGGGGCCACGGGGGGTCCCACCCACCCGCAGCGGGCAGGCCTGTCTACGGGTCGGAGCTCGGCGGCGGCGGCGGAGAGCGCGTTTACGCGCAGCGGGGCCTCGGCGGTGTGAGCAGGTGTTACCAGGAGTATCCACCGTGCGCAAACCGCGGGATCTTCAGGGTGCGGGACGGCGGGGAGCTTTACGCGGGGGCCAAGCAGAAGGAGATCAAATCTGAGGAGGATTTTATTCTCTCTAATCTGGAGGAACATGGATCCTATAAGTGCATCAAATGCTGCAAGGTAGCAGGTTTTCCTTTAGTCTACAGAATTAAAAACAAATATTTATTTTATTTAAGAGGTGAAATAATAATTAAACACATTTTATTCTGTTATTTTCTGAATTTTTTCCCGCGAAGGTTTTTTCCACACCCCACGGCCTGGAGGTTCACGTGCGGCGCTCCCACAGCGGGACCAGGCCGTTTGAATGCGGGATCTGCGGGAAAACCTTCGGGCACGCAGTGAGCCTGGATCAGCACCGAGCGGTTCATTCACAGGTAACCTTCCTCAGACCGAGGGCCTCCACACGCAGGGGCCACGCATCCACACACGCAGGGGCCCCGCATGCACACATGCAGGGGCCCCGCATCCACACACGCAGGGGCCCCGCAGGTCCAAATCACTTAAACGCACCCAGAACACACACAATAACACGGTTACGATTTGATTTTATAGCTATGGTTCAATTAAAATGGTTCAATTAGAATAATATAAACAATTAAAACAAAAGTTTGCAACTTTTGATCCAATTATCGATCAGCAAGAAACAAACAATGGATCATTATTTATACCCAAAATAAATATGTTCATGGTGATATAAAGTAATAGGAAATCAAATTTAAATGTCAAATCATTCTGGCTTAAACATTTATATAAATTTACTTTTTATCAGACCATATTTTCCAAAAAGTTAGAAAATTTCTATAAAAAAAAAAATAAAATCCTGTCTTAAAATCTGTTTTTTTTCCATTATCTTCTGCAGGCCAGTTAGTTCTACGTCAG